TTTCTTGGACCTAAAAACGTGGAATCAAGAGACATTACTTCTGAATCGCAAATATGTTAACTACTGCAAATCAACAAATTGATGCCATAAGTGCCGTTTTAACAACACAGGGGTAATCGTATCAGCAGTAGAGGTCCGTTCCCGTTTCTCAGTTTTTCACTATCTTAAACCTTATGCTAACAGCAGAAATAGCCTGTATTGAATTAAAATGTAGCCAACTAACCTGAGGGCTTGTTTTGGTCAGCTTTATGGCTAGAGCTTTTGTCCCACTTCCATAGCTTCACGTCACTTCATTTAAAACATGGAAACAACTCTCTAACAGTTTTTTGAGCTCAATAAAAGCATCAATTTCAAGAAGATCATGTGAATGCCGATTTCATAAGTTTATTTTCTATAAACTCTGAGAAACTAAAACAGTTCAGTATCAAAATAACCGGAACAAAACTGCAAGAACTTTTCACAAGTCATTTCTACTAATCGGTTAGTTTTCTGCTTTTTTCCCGAATATTTTCTTGCAAGTTGAGATTATTTCAGCTAAAATTCGTAGCCTTGAAATATATTTTCACTATCAGGAAAGTTAATACGTTAATCATCAGGTCTACTCTATTGGGGTCAGACTTCTATGTCTTCGGAAATATTTACTCTTTCTACTTCTCTTATAGATAAAATTCTTGAAACGAGTTAAGTGTCTTCCGGATTGGTGTGAAAAAACAGTTGCGATGCATCTTGTTTCTTTCGCTGGTAAGTGTCGTAGGTTTTTCAAATATTTGACTTAACAGTTCGATTCCTAAGAGAAACTACGACTGAAGTTTATCAATGTTTTTAAAATGTTCAGTGACAGTATTCGATAACGAGAACCAAGGATACTAACATGGTACTGGTAAAAGATCTTGATATATATCAAGGAGACCAGCTCGAGAGATTTGGTCATGGGGGAGATTGACACCGGTAATGATGTAGTCTATATGAAGCAAATAATGTCATAATTTAGGGGACACTTATAGCTACCATCGAAATGAAATCATATGGCTTGTTTGTAACCGTGATTCAGTTAATATGTAGTATCTCTAACAGAGAATCGTATGTGAGAAAGATCTGTTTACTACCGATGAAGCTATAATTAATTTCATCATGACGAAGTATGAGGAAAATCTGTCTATGAAACCAACTAATGACCCCAACAGAGTGTTTTCATTGGGCACACGTTATTCCTAGTAAGTTTGATTTCCAAATGTCGAAAAGTTGGGTCGAACTCTAAACTCATTGTCTCTTTCAGTGAACTTTAACATACCAACTCATCAGAGATCAGAACTCAGCACATTTTAGAATGGGGTTTCTTGCAGACTAATATTGCTTTTTGGGACTTGTCTTCACACTGTTCAATCAATTTATTTCGTACATTTACTTTAATAATGTATGTGTTTTCCACGTGTTGCAGTCAGGAATTATCACTATTAAATGCCTAGAATTTTTTAATAATCACTAAGTTTCTTCATCTTCACTTCTCGTGTAATCATTACTTACATCGTTTATTGAAAGAATCACCTCCATTTTACCAATTCTTCAAGATAATTATTGCTGACTACTTTAGACTATACGTCAACATCCGTGGTGCATCCATGTTATGTTTTGGTTGGGATGTTGTTTACGAAATTGACAGGATGAAAAGCGGACAGTAACCCAGCATATACAAATTCAATGATTTACGTGGCGTATTTATATTTTGGCTCCCTCTGTACCAGTGTTTATGTGCTTAAATAAATAGAATAAATTTTAGTTTTTGTGCGATAAAAAGACATCTTTTAACACATAATGAGTTCGGACGTCGTGTATATACATGAGCTTATCATTATCAGTGACCTCAAACAGTAAAGATTACTTTTATACGGTTTTCAGAAGAGGACCTATTAACATTATGGACAATAAGACGAGATATTCGACTGTTGTACGTAGAGTAGTTGGTATTTTTGTTGTGTTTTAGGATTACCAAAATTCATTTTGGCGCAAGCTTTAATATAGTTTAAATTTGGAATTAACATTTGGTCAATCTTTCCTCGGGCAGCAATTCTTTTCATAGTTAAAAACATTAGTAAAACCAAACTTTTTCTTGATATCAGCATGAATTGTTGTTTTCCTCGTTTATATTTTGTTGAAAGTCTTTCCATAAACTACAAAGTCTCGAACTTAATTCAGAGGTTCTGAATTCATAATGCATATGGTATAGAAACTCGTCCATAGAGTCATCTTACTATGTACAGATCGAGCGTTGATTAACATAAGTGTCAGGTATGGTGAGTGTTCGTCTAGTAGAAGGGTATAATGTAAACCCATTGGATTGTCTGTTTTGCCATGAGAAAAGGAAGAATTGGGAGTGTTGACTCCATATCGATGAGAGTTTAGTTTATTACCAATAGGGTTAATGCGAGAAAGGTAGTTGGAGGTTAGTTTGGTGAACGAAGTATGTTTAAATGTGAAAGGCAGAGTTGAATGGTTAGGTTGTGTATTCGGGGAGTGATCAGGAGGTTCAGTCAATGAGCTTTTAAGACTAGAGACAGTTATCGACGTTGAGAAAGATGTGACACTCTCCATTAGTTCGGAGCATATAGGTGGTCTCAGAATTGTGGAATTGTCGCCCTCAACATTTGTAGACCATACAGTAGCACTGTTGAGGGGAAGAGGGATAAAAAAGATAATATGGTGTATATCCCGAATTAGGGGGGATTAAAATGTTGTATGGGGTGGCTTGACGTAGATCGTATTTAGAGTCAGTAGGTGGGTTCTCAAGTAGACCAACGTGATGGCTTACTTGTGTGCGGTGGGCAATTTTAGTCCTATTATGGGTAGTTAGGGAGGTTGTATATTTCTGGAAAGGAATAAAGGATTATCTGATATTGTTGCCAAGAGAGGTGATTCTGTTGTGTGTAGTTGTGTGCTGGTTCATGGAGCTTGCAAGGTTCCCATTATATGACTTACGGGTATCATGTGTAGGTGTGGTTCCTTTCGAGTGTCGTTTCACGTTAGGATGAGTGGGTACTGCCTGTTCACTATGTTCGTTATAGGGAATTCTACTGCTATGAAAAGGTGCGTGTTTTGGGTTGGGGGTGCAGGAGTACTGGTGGGTTTTTACAGAGAGTTTAGTATTATTTCGTACAGTGGTGTCTGAGCGTTTGTAGTTATTAGGGCAATTCCTAGTAGGATTATTTTTAGGCTTTTTATAGGAGCCGCTAGGGCAGTACTGGGGCAAAATTGAAGCTTAAGTGGATTGGCATTTTGGGGTAGCCGAGTGTTTGGGTCGAGGATGAGTGGTTTCAGCTGCTTTATGTGCAGTCTTATACTTAGGACTAATAGCAGCATCCGACGTGCCTCCGGTTTTGGGAGGGGTAGCGTATGGTGTTTTGGGATTTGTGAAATGACAAACGCTGTAACTGCCGCAGCTACGTAGGCTTGGTGGATTAGTTTGTATTCCATTCAAGATTTGACGCTTGATAGCAGTCCTGTCATGGATGATTCTAATCTTTTTATATGTTGGAATACACCTCAGTAATGAATGACTATTGAGGAGGTGATTAGCGTCAGTGGTATTACCAAACTGAAATAGAGTTGGACATGAGGCTTTAGTGTGTGCTTTGCGTAATCTTCTTGTTACACACCAAGATTGTGACAATTCACATTCTTGTAGTAGAGTATTTTTAGCAATCTTTACGTTCGCACTATCAGGTATATTATACACAATGACATTGTGCATACACTGAAGTCTTTTTAACACTTCAGATGATATATGGTCAATTACTTTTTAGTGTTTTTTATAATGTCGAATCCGGGATTTTGTGGAACATTGATTAAATATTTGTACGGTAATAATTCTTGGATAGTTTGGGTGAGGCTAAGTTTTGTTTAGCTGCTTTTAGATCTACCAGTGGTGAGATTATTGGAATTTATATCAAAGTTTTTAAGGTCGATATGGTTACATACAGACCTGTTGCAAGTGTCTACCGAGTGGTCACGTTGTGCATACTTAGTTGGGGGATGGAATATATATCTGGGTGAGTAGTAAAGATCTACATCACCGGCGGGTTATTGTAGGCAGGCTTACATGTACTCCGTAGGCCGCTACTTAAGATGGCGCATCGTAAAATTGTTCGGTTTTTGGGGTCAGTTGCACTGCATAGTTACTGCTCACAACATGTGGTGCTTTCGTTTGGACTGGCAAATGATGTCGACTAACGGTATGTGACTGCTCTTACTTATATCTACAAGCGAGATGCGAGGTATGTCATACCCAAGTAAACGGTGCACGTTTAGTGTAGCTGAAGGAAGATTAGAATAGGATGCAGACTGATCAGTATGTTTATAGAGCTTAACACTACTCACTTTAGTGGCTGATTTAGATCTTTTGCAAGTGCTATAGGAATCAGGAGAGATTATATGTTTCTTAGATGGCCTGGACATTATCGGAAGTAATGTAAATATAAGGTTTAGTTAAATCAACGGCGTCAGTTATCAATTAACTTATTAGATATGTAAAGTTCTATGGTAGGATCAGAACCAATGTTAGTCAAAAGCAAACATATTAACGTTAATGAGTGAAAGGAGGTAGACAGTGTGAAAACTGGCAAAATTAATGTGTGACATTGAGTCCCAAAATGAAGTGTCAAGTTGATAGAGCTTTATCAGTGATGAATTATTTATCGCTAATAAATGTTAAACCAAAGAGAAAAACTAAAAGGAAAATAAAATGATACCACGTAAAAAAATCACAACCTTCAAAACGAGTTTAGATTTTCGCAGTGTTACAAACTGCAATGATTAATATAGGTCGATAGACCTCCTATCCTTATTAGTGAAGACTGAACAAACAAGCTCTTTGAACAACCTTTTATCCGTTCACACCCACCTGAACCATTCGAACAGAATATTTGATCAAAGTGCTCTATGATGAAATCCAACTGCTCACATCTGAGGACTCGTTCAATATGTACAGATGTTATTGTTTAGCTCACAACGTCGCGGAAAGTTTGGGTTGGAGGTCAGGGTTATCGTTGTTCATGATTCTCGTGTAAGCTGGTAGATGAATTGTTTACCTGAATGTAAAAAAAACATTTTCTTGTAGTTAGACTCGATTTTTCTATAACAATTGTGTTTAGCTTTTTCAGATAGTTTACACTAGTTCATTGGATTTGAACCCAATGAATAATGTGATAACTGCACCTAATATAGATTGTGACATTACCACCACAAAATCTGTACTCTTTCAAAGAACCAAGTATGGTGATAAGCCCGTGTGATACGCATACTAGGTAAATTTAAAGAATATTAGCACTATCAAGTATGTTAGGCTATTTACAAATCGATTTGTAAATGGATCTTCCTGAACTTGGGAACAAAAGTTAACATTACTTCAGCTGTTTAAAAGTGTACTTTTGTAGACTTGTGACTTCCGTAATCATTGTATAATTGCCACCCATTGACTGATCACCACCAACTAGAGTTACGGGGAACTAAGTAGCTGCGGCGAGACTATAATTTGTGGACGAACTAATCACATATAAGATAACAGGTCCCGGATATTGGCCGAAATTAATTCATTCATTTGGGTAAATATAGTTATGGCATTATATACAATGTTAATTCGTGATGAAAACCCGAAATCTAATTCATAACCTTCATCATTAACTGTAAATTGTAATTGCGATTCCTCAAACAGGTTCATAACCCTGATTTTGCCCTAGTTGTTAAGTGGACACCCTCAAGGTCAGTTTAGCGGCGCTCAAGGGTCATCTATGAATTATAATAATAATAATAATAATAATAATAATAATAATAATAATAATAATTTATTCTCAAATAACAGTTTGTTACATGAGGCATGCCAGTTTACAGGCAAGATCAAATTGATACAAATGATACAATATACACTGCAATAAATTACATAGCTGGGTTGATAATTTATAAGATATGAATGTCGATGGTTTAAATCAGTACTACAGTTGGCGCGCTTCATGAAAGTCGCGTTGCGAATGTGCGACTGATGGTCAAGAATAGGTCCATTGAAGGTATGGGCTTCTAATCGCAACCTTATTTCCTCCTGGGATATCCAAGGCTTTAAGGATGGTGCAGGATGAAGTCACCAGTTCCATATCTCAAGGGGGCTGAAAGAGGGAGCAAGTAAAAGAAAACACGAGAGGCAGAGTAGCCAATATTCATGAAAGAATGCTTAAGGTATGATAACTCAGTCTAATTTTCCTTTATTAAGGTATATGTTAAGAAAGAGCATTTCAATAGGTTATAGAAAATTAGTGTTTACAAGGTGTGAGTGGACATACAACTGACAAATGGGGGCGATTCGGAAAAGAGCTGAGAGTATAAGATTATGTGTGATTATAAAATAAAATATAGTGCTAGAAACAGTATCGTGATATACATTTGGCTGTCTCCCCTTTAATATCGAAGCTATTAGAGCCTCTTTCGTTTTTTTTTTCCCCAGTTACTATAGGGTCTTGATTAGGCTTCGTATATTAGCGAATTGTCTAGTTTGCTTGTAATAGGATTTCTAGGTAGGAAGTGAAACCAATTCAACGTTCGTAACACGACTTAAAGAGGTATTTTGCGTGATAAATCAGCTTCTATACCATAAGTTCGTGACATCCCACTAAACCATAAGGAGCCGTAATTAAACAAAATGTTCTGCCCTACAGACATGGGTGGATTGAAGTTATCTCCCCACCTAGTTTCACCGCTGCCTTACTTATACACACTCTGATGCCACACAATGTAAGGATTCTCTAGCCTACCTGACCAGGCTGTCTTAGTTTCTAAATGCAGTGTAAAAATCCAAAGAACTTCCAAAATAGCGGACTTGTTTAGAAATTAGGAAAAAAGAATACAAACAGCACTGATGAGTTTTCATACTTGCTGATCCCCAAATTGTATTTACACATTGTCCATGTTGGTCATTGCGTTCCTTAAAGTGATGAGCATCTCAATGTTTGATGATCTATCCCAAGTACTGGGAATATTTTTTGAACATTACTGAATAGCCTCAACGGTATATTCTGACCTTACTACAAATCACTAGAGTCAGCAACGAAGTGGGAGAACTATTGAGCACTGTCCTTCCTAAAGTGAGTATTAGACCAAGAGAATGTTTTTTTACTACTTATTGATTGTGCTTTACGGTTTTAGATTAAAGTAACAACGTGGGCGTAGTAATTTAGCTCAATAGTTCTTAGTCGTGTTAAGTTAGTCTTCTCTATGCTTCAAAATATTTAACAAATAAGTAGGAGAATCGGAACGTATCCGCTTTTATCCTTGATGGTTAGTTGTAGAATCTAGGTCGGTACATTGATTATTTTTGAATAGTACTGAGGGTGAATTTCGGTGACAAAATTCCTTACTTCGCAACCAACCTGTAGAGCCACTGTCAGTGTCTTGATTCTGGATGAACTAGGGTATGTGAAGGAACACTTAAATCCCTCTTACACCTGCCTGCAATCCAGGCAGATACCCAAAATATTATGAAGACTTATAACTTGAGCTTATCGAGATAAAATGAGATCATAAGTAATGTCAGCTAGCCAGTTCTAAACAAACGTATTTTTGAAATCGCATTACTCCGATGACGTCTTGTCACTGACTAGAACATTTATCGACTTCAAAAAGAACATCAAGTTGCACCATTAGACTTTATTCACCACAGAAAAGTTTTTACCAAGTACTTTATCGATTATTCCGTTATGAAACAAAAATGACCATTCTATTTTTATGCACCCACGAGTCTCTGGTCGAATCCAAATGAATCACTTGTCAACGACACTGATAAGAGTTCTAGCTGGACAGTGCTTTCAAGGGTTCTTATTTTTGCTCGTATCCATAGTTGTCGATAATTTTCATACAAGCATATTAGGAACATCAGAAATCAACTTAAATGTTGGATTGATAAACTGCGAATCGTCACAATCCAACAAATGTTCAATAGCTCAAATTTAACTCACCTAATCATTTAAAGAAAAACCCGCCCCTATAGTGGCTCATGTGATTGAATTTTCTTGGACCTAAAAACGTGGAATCAAGAGACATTACTTCTGAATCGCAAATATGTTAACTACTGCAAATCAACAAATTGATGCCATAAGTGCCGTTTTAACAACACAGGGGTAATCGTATCAGCAGTAGAGGTCCGTTCCCGTTTCTCAGTTTTTCACTATCTTAAACCTTATGCTAACAGCAGAAATAGCCTGTATTGAATTAAAATGTAGCCAACTAACCTGAGGGCTTGTTTTGGTCAGCTTTATGGCTAGAGCTTTTGTCCCACTTCCATAGCTTCACGTCACTTCATTTAAAACATGGAAACAACTCTCTAACAGTTTTTTGAGCTCAATAAAAGCATCAATTTCAAGAAGATCATGTGAATGCCGATTTCATAAGTTTATTTTCTATAAACCCTGAGAAACTAAAACAGTTCAGTATCAAAATAACCGGAACAAAACTGCAAGAACTTTTCACAAGTCATTTCTACTAATCGGTTAGTTTTCTGCTTTTTTCCCGAATATTTTCTTGCAAGTTGAGATTATTTCAGCTAAAATTCGTAGCCTTGAAATATATTTTCACTATCAGGAAAGTTAATACGTTAATCATCAGGTCTACTCTATTGGGGTCAGACTTCTATGTCTTCGGAAATATTTACTCTTTCTACTTCTCTTATAGATAAAATTCTTGAAACGAGTTAAGTGTCTTCCGGATTGGTGTGAAAAAACAGTTGCGATGCATCTTGTTTCTTTCGCTGGTAAGTGTCGTAGGTTTTTCAAATATTTGACTTAACAGTTCGATTCCTAAGAGAAACTACGACTGAAGTTTATCAATGTTTTTAAAATGTTCAGTGACAGTATTCGATAACGAGAACCAAGGATACTAACATGGTACTGGTAAAAGATCTTGATATATATCAAGGAGACCAGCTCGAGAGATTTGGTCATGGGGGAGATTGACACCGGTAATGATGTAGTCTATATGAAGCAAATAATGTCATAATTTAGGGGACACTTATAGCTACCATCGAAATGAAATCATATGGCTTGTTTGTAACCGTGAATCAGTTAATATGTAGTATCTCTAACAGAGAATCGTATGTGAGAAAGATCTGTTTACTACCGATGAAGCTATAATTAATTTCATCATGACGAAGTATGAGGAAAATCTGTCTATGAAACCAACTAATGACCCCAACAGAGTGTTTTCATTGGGCACACGTTATTCCTAGTAAGTTTGATTTCCAAATGTCGAAAAGTTGGGTCGAACTCTAAACTCATTGTCTCTTTCAGTGAACTTTAACATACCAACTCATCAGAGATCAGAACTCAGCACATTTTAGAATGGGGTTTCTTGCAGACTAATATTGCTTTTTGGGACTTGTCTTCACACTGTTCAATCAATTTATTTCGTACATTTACTTTAATAATGTATGTGTTTTCCACGTGTTGCAGTCAGGAATTATCACTATTAAATGCCTAGAATTTTTTAATAATCACTAAGTTTCTTCATCTTCACTTCTCGTGTAATCATTACTTACATCGTTTATTGAAAGAATCACCTCCATTTTACCAATTCTTCAAGATAATTATTGCTGACTACTTTAGACTATACGTCAACATCCGTGGTGCATCCATGTTATGTTTTGGTTGGGATGTTGTTTACGAAATTGACAGGATGAAAAGCGGACAGTAACCCAGCATATACAAATTCAATGATTTACGTGGCGTATTTATATTTTGGCTCCCTCTGTACCAGTGTTTATGTGCTTAAATAAATAGAATAAATTTTAGTTTTTGTGCGATAAAAAGACATCTTTTAACACATAATGAGTTCGGACGTCGTGTATATACATGAGCTTATCATTATCAGTGACCTCAAACAGTAAAGATTACTTTTATACGGTTTTCAGAAGAGGACCTATTAACATTATGGACAATAAGACGAGATATTCGACTGTTGTACGTAGAGTAGTTGGTATTTTTGTTGTGTTTTAGGATTACCAAAATTCATTTTGGCGCAAGCTTTAAT